TCTCCTCGCAGCATGAGTAAGGCAGAGTGATAATAGAAAAAGGCAGTCTTGCTGCATCAGTACATTTACTACACTCTCTATCTTCTCGCATCCAGGAGAGAGATAAGTTCTACATGTCCCGCATTGTGGTGTTAGAGCTCCTGCAGGCTCTCAAGTTCAAGTCTCCTCTGCCTGACACAAACTTGTTACTTCTGGTTCAGGTAAAAAAACAAAAATCTCTCTTATCCATCTCGGTTTACGAGAGCCAGAAAATCACAGCAATTCAATCTGACTGCAATTCTATAACTCCATGTGGATTTTGCCAGTTTGTTTGTGCAGATATCGGCACACGGCTAGCGGAATCCACCATCATCCAAAAGCACATGATCTCAACGCTGCCGGGGGTGAGACTTAAATCGCTGTGTGCTACACTGTCTTATTAAAATCAGGCTCATAAAACAGCAGGAAATATAGACAGGCTCCACTGTGATTCCTCCTAAAGGATAAACTGCTGTTTCTCTCTACAGTGCACGACGGCAGCAATGGAATGCATGCGGCAATATATAAGTGAGCTCTTGGACTTTATTGCAGATATGCACACACTAACCAAACTTAAAGTAAGTCTTCTGTGTGTGAGTTTACAATTTGGACATGTCTCATGTGGAGAGTTTTGTTTTTCATCCTTATCTTTTCTTCACTCCAAATCTGCTCTTCAGAGCCATATGAAGGCTTGTTGTCAGCCACTGCACGAGGACACCTTTGGGGGCAACCTGAAAGTGGGCTTGGCACAAGTCGCAGCCATGGAGATCAGCAAAGGCAATCACCGCGATAACAAAGCTGTTGTGCGTTATCTTCCCTGGCTTTATCATCCGCCATCCACCATGCAACAAGGGTAAAAATGATGAGACTAAGACTGACTGACTTAATAAGAAAAATGAATGGTGAAAGAAGAAATGCACACTGTGTTGTTAATTGATTTGTTGAACTCATTTTCATTTTTTTCTTTCTCTCTAGGCCAAAAGAATTCATTGAGTGCGTGTCCCACATTCGTCAGCTGTCCTGGCTTCTTTTGGGCTCCCTGACGCACTATGCCCTGCACCAGGGCTCCACCTCCTGCATGCCCATCCCTCTCGACGCTGGCTCCCACATTGCAGACCATCTTATCGTCATCCTGATTGGCTTCCCAGAACAGTCGAAGGTCTGGCAGACACAAATCTCTTCAAATGATCACACTCAGATTTTTCCAGATGCGATTTGTGGCAACCACAATGGCCTTGTCAGTTTTGGTCTCGGTCCTTATCCTCAGACGTCGGTGCTGCACATGTGCTCCCTGTTCCACGCCTTCATGTTCGCCCAGCTGTGGACCATCTACTGCGAGCAGGCAGCCGCCGCTCCCTCCCTGCAGAACCAGAACCACACAGAGTTTTCTTCCAGCGCCATCCTCACGGGCCTCGAGTTCTGGAGTCGGGTTACACCCAGCATCCTGCAGCTTATGGCCCACAATAAAGTTGTAAGTGCTGCGCGGTATCCTTTGCAAACATCCGTCTAAGACAGTCAGGACTGTCGCTGTGGAAGAATGGTGATTTTCTTCTTTTAATATTATGAGTAAACAGTAAATATGTTACATAAAATTAAGTCTATTTCATATTTGTCTCTCAGATGGTAGAGATGGTGTGTCTTCATGTCATTAGTTTAATGGAGGCCCTGCAGGAATGCAACTCAACCATCTTTGTCAAGGTTTGCTATAAGTCCAGTGTCCTTCCATGCAGACAGTGCTGTATATTCTCTCTGTAACATGCAGAATAATGCTTATTTATTCATCTCCATTCCTTTTTTCAGTTAATTCCTATGTGGCTACCCATGATTCAGTCAAATCTTAAGGTAAGTGGTTTTAAAAGGTGTTAATCATACAGATGAATGATAATTACTATTGATGATTTCAAACTGAAACACTATCATCTCTTCTTTTCGTCGTAAGCATCTGTCTGCAGGGCTGCAGTTGCGTCTTCAGGCCATCCAGAATAGGGTGAACCACCAGTGTCTGCAGGGCCAGATGTCCGGAGCCCCTCCGTTCGCCCTGCGCAAATGGCTGCAGTGCACCCAGTTCAAGATGGCTCAGGTGGAGATCCAGTCGTCTGAGGCTGCTTCACAGTTTTACCCCATGTGACCTGTTCTGTGGTCAGCTCTGCCTCACCTGGGTCCCTAGGCCTGCATGCATCTGCTCTGGCTGAAAGTGACTTTAAAAAAAGTGATGCTGTGTGGGATTCGTTTGAAATGAATCATTTTTCAGAACCTTTAGTATATGTACAGTAAATCTATGCTATTTTAAAGTACTAACACTGGAGTTGGACTGTGTAGAAGAACTGTGTTCGGTGCCCAATCTGTTGCATTTAACAGAATTGAAGAGTCAGACGACTGTAGAGGATTTCCACAGACCCATGTTAGTAATAGCAAGGGCCTGAAACCAAATGCTTGTTTAATCATAGATATGTTCACTCTGACATTCATAACCTATCACTTTTTAAGTTGCTTGGTTGCAAGCCGAATAATAAAAGTACAAGTTTTTCTAAACATCGAGACGCTTTGACATTTCAAATGAATTGCTGAGCCTTTAAAAATTCAAATATGACATTTTCTGCCCTTTGATGTCCTGACTGATGGGGAAAATGCCCAGCTTACCATAATGTGGACGGCGGAGAGATAAAATCAGCTCTGCTGGCTACTCCTCTGAGCGAAAAAACCTCAGGTGTCTACGGGAAAACGACATGACATGCATTACCCAGCTCCCAGCTAAGATCCTTGTCAGGCTGTCAGTCATGCTGCCTTTTGCCATCACAGCTCAGATCGATCAGAGGCCAATCCGAGTTGCGGCAGCAGCTTTGTAACTCGATAACGTGGAGCCAGACATTGGAGGTAAACAAGACTATTTCGGTTTGCTCCCCCCTCACCCCCAAAGTGGAAAGACACCTCGCCTCCTCCTACTCCAGCCCTCCCTTCATTGGCAGCAGCGAAACAGATAGGCCCATGCATATACCAAGCAAACACAATTACCTTTGGCCTAATGTGGTTTGTTGTGATTAAGGATTTTTGTGAGGTCTAACTGTATTACCATGAAGCTCTTGTCTGAGAATAACAGATGACATGACAGCAGGCCCTGAAAACCGAACAGCACATTAATCTTTGTTTTGATCTTTTCTGCTGCAAGGATTTCATTATCAGGATTTAGCATGAATTAGATCTGCTGATATAGATGTATTCTGCGAGGAAAAATTAGCTTATCGGACCAAAATAAGTCACATTTGATCTGCGCATAAATTCTTTAAAATATTACTTTTTAGTCGCAGCTGGTATTGAAAGACCCATGTTGAGAGGTGTCTGCCAAATGAGTCACTAGTATAATGATATCACACAATGTGACTAATGAACACGCACTTACACACACGCGCACACACTCCCCGGTGACCTCAAGCCAGCTGAATCAGGCTGCGGTGCCCCTTCTCATCAACCTCTAGCCATGGCTCATCAAAGAGGTCCTTTCCTGCTGCGCCTCTACGTGTGAGAGTGTGCATTAAAGTGATGTTAGCTACAGGTGTGTATGTGCGCATGTGTCCCTGCGTGTGTGCGTGCGTTTAATCAAGTCCCCCTTGCTCTGGGGTTGCATCTGTCAGCCACTGCCACCGTTGTGATCGTTTGAACTCGCAGCCCTTTCTGAAAGAACCTTTCTCATTAGCAGCAGCTTATGTAATCAGTGTCCCACAGGTATCCAGCACTTTCCCCACCCCTGCTTGCCGCCTGCCTGCCTGCCTCCTGCAGGACCATATGGGAGCGCTGACCTGATGAGTAGGCAGCTGGAGGTGCTGAGGGTAATTAACACTGACCAAAGGACTGGCGGGCAGAGAGGGTGTGAGTGGGTCCTCAAAGACTGTGAAGGTCAGCTTTAAAAAAAGGACTGTGCAAGCTCTCTCACACAACCAATGCACCAGCACAATGCATCACCAGGTGTGTGCGCTGGTGACATCTCGTGATTAAAGAGCAGAGGTATAGAAGCAGCAGATAAAACTCAGCAGCACACTGGTAAAAACAAATGTTTGAAAAAAATAAAATCAGTGTTCCAGCACCTTATTGCTGTAAGGAAAGCCTCGAAAAACTTGTTGAGACGGTGACAATTCCCAGTACCCCTGCCTAGTGCTGTCACTTTGGTTTTATTACAGTGAAATCCACAGCGCCCTGGCTGGACAATGCATGAATGTTTAAATTGCTCTGCGTGTCCATTTGCATTACCGTCAAGTGGCACATCCAAAGCAGGGAAGGCAGAGAACTCGATGGACCCTCATTCACATTATAATTCATCAACATTCCTCTTGAGTGCTCTTGTACATCAGCCTGTACAGCACAGGTTTAGGCTCCCTTGTTTGTTTCACATCACGGTCTGGTGTGCAAATTAAAACAGAAATAGGAACATGTCTGCGCGACCTAGTGTAAGAATGCAGGCTCTGTAAGAGGTGTTTTGAATCCATTACCCTCTTTTATCTTACTCTAAAAACCTCATTTTGTTATATCAACTCATGTTCTTGCTCTAGCTGCAGAAATCTTTTACACACACACCCACACGCACACACACAGACGTGATTTTTTTAGTGACACTGTTATTGATCGAGCCCAGAGCTTGCACAATATGTGACCTAAAAGTTTTCTGGCTGGTGCCATTAAGCCCCACGGAGAGGAGTGCGCTTGGTAATCGCAGTTCATTAAAGATGCACTGTGTGAGACAGACTGAGAACATGTCCTCCTCTGTGGGGGGCCCAGGAGACAAGGCCAGCACGCCTCTGCCCAAAGACGCGAACGGCACAGCACAGCATAGAGCAGACAAGATGGGCACAGGCTAAATATAACAGTCTCACTTTTATCACCTTCACCACGTACGGGCCAGCTCGTCTGCCCACATATAACAGTGGTTTTATAACTGCACATGCATTTCTTTAAACACAACATACTGTGGGTCAGTTGTTATGTACAGTTTTATTTACAACTGAAAAACTCAGCAATGAAATCAACTTATGCACATTTCGTTATCTGTTTGGTATAATGCATAAATTGTGTATGCTCTATTGATTGCCATATATACATTAATGGCTTGCTCCATCAACATGACAACACTGACATAATTCTAAGTGGTAGCACATTTTTTTTAAACTTTTACTATGTATAAACATATGTTCTGTTACACTGTACATGAATTAACAGTCCAGAAGGCAGATATTTAAATATCAATATTTACATTCATGCATCCATCATTTCTCTCATATAGGTACATGGTGGGGTTTACTGTTAGCTAATACCTGTGCATTTTTAAATGCAAGTATGTGGTTTTTTTTAAAAATCCCCCTATATTTTCCACAGTTTAGCCAATATCTATACTTAACTGACAGCCACAGAGTACAGCCCACTCTCACTGAGTACACTCATCTGCATGCACGCTCACAGACAGACACACACACACACACTCATACACGCGCACATGCATGCCCGCACAGACACACGCAGATTTAGTGTATTAAAGAAAAAAAAAGAAAAGAAAGCAGAGCAGCGTTGAGTGATGCTCCAGTTCAGCTCAGTTGTGTTTTTCCAGCGGGGATGAGAAGGATGCCTGTGACAGCACTGAGTCACACACATCCTTGATGAGGCCATCCTCTGTGCAACCTGATCTCTGGCTATTGGCTAAGTCTCCTGTCTCTCGCCAGTCACAAGGTCAGCTCTGGGCTCATGTCCCCTGTTTCTATGGTGATGGGCTAAGCCCTTCTTGACAGATAGAAAAATGAAGATTGTCACGTCCAGACAAAACACGGCGGAAGGCATCCAGCTGACCATTGGACAACAAGATTTAACTGGACGACAGGGAGAGCAGGTTTAACTTGTAGAGGTGCTTGCACTGAGCGAACAAATCGGAAAGTCGGGACTGGCGTGTGATGCAGGACAGGAGTATTGTTCGGGTAACACACATTCACAAAGATCACATAGGACATAATGGAGGCCCCTGACTTTTTTTAGCTGAAGTCTCAGGGAAACAGAAGAGGATATCAAACACCCAGAGACAAAACAACTGATACCAAAACTCTTTGCAGAGCAAGCGCGTTTTCTGCATCAGTGTCTCAACAAACCGACAGCCGGCTTAAAGCATTGGTGCATCACAAATGAATTATATGATCTATAAATTATTCACTTAGAAAACAGAGCTCTCATGAAATAAGATGAATTCGTCAAGATGTTCGAGATTTGAAAAGATGTGAGTAACTTACAAGACCGTTGTTTTTCCCTTTTAAGTAGAAAAATAAATTCAAAGATAGACAAGTAAATAAATAGAGGAAATAAATACACGGATGACTGAAATATATATATATTACATTGAGCCTTCTGTAGCCTGTTTTGGCATGGCGAAATAACCAGAAGGTCCCATGTTGATGTTTCTGCTCCTCCTTTGTTTATATGGATTTCTTTAAATTGCATAGTCAGAGGAATCCACATCTCAGAGCCAGGACCGGCAGCAACATCGTGTTTCTCACAAAGCATCTGTCTCAAAAATGGAGGGGAAAAAAATGGACAGTGCGAGGGTTGGAATATAAAAAAATGTTGCATTCTCTGTAAAAACTGCATGCATGTTATTTGTTGTGTGTGATGGGCTGTCTTGTCTGGCTGCCCGTGGGACTGCAGGGCTGCTGTATTGTCTGTTGTTCCATTGCAGATGTCAACAGTGCGTGAGGTCTGGATCTGCAGCAGACTGGCAGACAGTCCCTCTCCAGCCGGCAGCCAACCAGCCTGTCAGCAACACTTGCTGTTACTAAGAGCATAATGTTCAGCTTGCTGTGCCACTTTCGACACCGTGGGGGGTTGTGGATCTTTCTCTGTGTCCTTTCTGTCTTGATTTTTTTCCCCCCGTCGATCTTTTTAGCTTTTCTCGAGGTGAATGGTGTCTTCAGTCCGGGCAACGTGCCAGGCAAAGAGGGAAGTTTTACCAATCTGAAAACCTGGGGTGAAACCCACTCGCATTCATTCAAGGTGAGAGGGAACTGTTGTAGTCAGGATAAGGTGAGCGACAATGGTGATGTCACTTCATGTTTACCAGGACAGTCTATACCACAGTGTTGTTTGTACCCATGGCCTTCTTGTTACGGATGCTCATGGCATACTCCCCACGACTTGTCCCGTTCTCTTCTTTTCGGAGTGGTTTCCTGTGAATAGACATTTTTACAAAGTGAGGATGAATTCCTTGATCAAAAAAACAAAGCAAAATGGCACTACATTCATCCATAGCTAAAGGCCATGCCATTAAACAGAGTTTGTGGACTGCTGACCTACAGACTGATTTGATTTCTGAAGCTGCTCTGGGTGGATATGCTGCTCTCAGCAATCCCTTCTAATAAGCTCAGTGTTTAAAGGTCAATTTTGCAAGGAGACAGAAGGAAAAGATACATTGCAGCACATGGCATAAGGCAATTACCTACTATGACTGGGAGATGCAATCTTCTCTTCTAAGTAATGAGTATGTGTAGCTGTCAAAACAACTTGGGAATGACATCGATACACAACCTCCTGGGAAATTCCTTCTTAAAAACCGGTTGCGCTGTAATGCTCGATCTTTGCTCTAGTGCAAAAGAAAACAGCAGCACATGATCCCCTTGCTGCTACTGGTCTGTGAAGAGCAGGATCATTCAATGTAGCTCTTTTCATGCGCTCCTTGATGCCTTTGTGGTTATTATATTTGTCCAGTGTACTGTGGCTTCTGCACCGACCCCCTCAGCTGCCCTCCCCTGCCCGGGTTTATGTAACTCAGAGACAGATCTGAATACAGTCAGTACAGTCATTGTCCCACTCAACACTGTACAGTGCCTTCACTAGCACCGAGAACCCTTGAGCTACATCTAAGCTCAATATCTCCCCTCCTCTCCTCTCCTGGCCCCTGAAAGCCCGGGCTGGCCGGCACAACTTCAACAAACATTCAGTCCGGTCCAGCACAAATCTTTTTCCTTTCTCGGGCATCGTGCCGGGAAGGAATCGTGCAGACAGGGAGTCCTTGCAGGGTGAAATGAGCTCATACATGACATAATGCAATCCAATACAAAAGCTCTGCAAGAAGAAAGCACTCAGTGTAACTCGTGAGGATTAGCTTCTTGTCGAGAACTGAAGAGGGTACTTTTAAAAGGACTATGGAACATTTTAAAAACAACAATGTGTGAAAGGTGAACTCATGAATAATAAAACACACCGTTGCTTAAGACTGATGGCATCGTGTATTGGAAATTACGGAGATATGGTTTTAATGGTGTTATCATATCCAGAGACTTAAAACGCAACCAGTAATGAATCCAGACCTCTGACAAGATCTCATTAAAAAGTTAACATTACTTGGAGGTCTAATACACCTGATAGCATTTCTTTCCCTCCGTGCACAGGATTTTGCTGAATCATTATCACACCAAGTCTTTCAATATGCCTTAAGGATATTTTTCTGTAATACTAGCAATGTTTATACGATTCTTGCTTGGTGAGGTGTCAGTATGAAAAATGATCTGCCAGGGTTTTTTTTGTTTTTTTTTGCACCACTCAATATTTATAATTCTTGTGCTGTCATCTCAGTCTGTCAGCTGTCTCTTTGGGATGCTCCCACGCACTTTGACCGATCACATTTTTGCCACACCTGTTAAACAACCGTCTTGCCGCTGTCAGATTTTGAAAAATGCTCCCGTCTCGGCTGTTTTTCAGCTGTCACTTCAGCGCAGAGCTTAACCTCGACCCATCTGCCTCCCGTGCTCGCCGGCATTAGCCATAAAATCCTGCTCGGCTTGACTCCGTCCAGTTTTTACACAAGTTACTCTGATCTGCAAAGTCAGTATCAGGATCTTTAAACATTTTAAAGGGTTTCCATTCAAAGAAACAAAAACTACAATAGGGTGTAAATATGAAAGTCTTTGAAAATCCCCCACCTCACATTTTTAACTACTCTAACAGGGTGGCTTTATCATACTGTGTCTCTTCCACTAGTTTAAAATTTGTGAGTTCACAACATGTATTTTATAGAGAACTTTTAATATAGTGCCATCATTGAGTCAGACTAACTTAGGTTGATTATTATGAGGGTGTGTGTGTTAATAAGAAGAAGGGAGGGAGATTTTACTGACTTTTAACTGAGCTTTTATACCTGAAAAGTGATTGGGAATTTCTGTGTAGATACTTTGGAGGCCATGCAGAAGCTGATCAACATTATGTGCGAACATTATACTTTCCAGAAAAAAAAACTTTTAAACAAAACACAACAGTATGACTAAGACTTCCTGTGGGACTCCAGTGTCACCTGGGTGGGGTCATTTGGGTGAACACAACTGGGACACATGCTGGCCATGTAGAGCAGATGCTGCTTGCTGTGTCCCTGTGAGACTAGGGGAAAGCCTGAGAAAAGAAACTGTCCAGCCCCGGGGTGGAAACACTCTGATGTGGGGAGGGGGCGGTGGTCCCCACTGCTGCAGGGAAGGGATTTGGGATATACCAGTTTTACAGGTCTGTATTAATCTATTAATCACTGCTGCCGCCTGAGGGAGAATGTACAAAAACAGCAACAGTTACTCACACAAAACAATATGCTAGACACAATTATATCTGTCCCACAGGGAGGATGGAGGAGGAATCTCCCAAAGTCCAGCCAACATAGACTTTATAACAACATTAGCCTCAAACATTTCTGGAGTCCAGTTACAGAAAACTATGATAAGAGTTAAACAGACCTGTGGGTGTTGGGACAAAGTAAGATTTTTCCCTTTGGTTCCTACAGCAACAGATGAAACTACATAAACAAAGGGTGATATGGATGTTGCTGTAAGACATGACAAAACAAAAAGATAAACCAGCTTTGACGACGGTGCAATAAAACAATGTCCACACTTATCCACGGACGTTGCCACATTTTTATGTAGGAATATCTGATGGAATTCCTATTCTTACTTCTGTAGCAGACTGATAGTTTTATATCATACTTTTTTTTAATAGGTCAGTGACTGTGGCTGGGATGTCCACAGTATCATTTGGAAAAACACTGAACACAAATTTATGATGAACAGTTTTCATTCATTTCATTTACGTGAGTTTGTGTGCGTGTGTGTGTGTGTGTGCTCTTCCTGGAAGCTCTGTTCTTACCTGTTTAATATACGAGCCTGTTTCAGCTTAGACCTCAAACCTTTATGTGAAAGCAACTCCTCCATCACGTTAAATATGGACAGTAGTAACGGGAACTGAGTCTCCAGCAGTGTCCTCCTTGGAGGAGGGCCATCGCGTGAGTAGCATGCTCATGTTTTAAAGTTTCACTATGAATTCATCCACCAGGGTCGGACTCCAGAGGTGGAGACTGGACTGTGATGTTCTGAGAAACTACAGGGAAAATTTGAACCTTCTACACTCACATTGTAGCTTTTAGCCACATCAACACAATGTTCTCTCACCACCTGCCTTGCTTCGTCCTCTTCCCCAAAATGCAATTGAAGTTGAAAGGCTCCACACAGTGGAGGAGATCCAGAACGCATTGCAGATGCATATGTGCAAGTGGACGGAACAGGAGCCATTTAAAATTAGCACTGGAAGTAGTCCAGAGCAGAGATGGCTCTAAAGCGGACTGCTGCTATGATTTTAATCAGTGACGTGTTTTGCTCTTTATGGGTGGAATCACAGAGCTTTTTAAATGTCCCTCATTATATTTGGTGCAGCCAGTTAAATTTAAGATAAAAAGGAGTTTTATTCTAAGTCACAACTGAATTGTGTTGAAAACGGATGAAAAAGCAATTAACAGAAGTCTGGCATGTCTCGATGATTCCACATGAGATTTAGCAAGTAAGAGAACAAGACAGGATCTCTGTGCTGTTCGACACCGGTGAGCTACAGATTCCTGGAAGCCGCTTCGGCCCTGTTTATTTTTCTCAGGATGTAATCTCCGCACTGACTGACCATGTCGCTTTGGGCCACCACACAGGGCAGAGCACTGGGGCCTCAAGCCGACCTCTGCCCGGGCCTTCAATAATAGATGCCATGCTGTTGACACGTGGCAGGTGGCAACACAACACTTCACAGGTTAGATGAATATTTCATATCAAAGCTGTGCAATCACAGCGCACATTGCTGTTTGAAGTTTGGGGAATGCATGATGGTGAAATTAGGACATGCGTTGGGCTGTTTACAATTACTCCAGCCATCTGGAAATTAGAGTAACATGGTATGGTTCAAAGCAAACGCATTACAAAACAGACTGTAAAAGCCTGTCACCGGTTTTGATGGTGCCGGTTTAGCGATTTCGAAAATAAAACAAAGGGAGATTAATGATGTGTGAGCAAATATTGTAGCATTTTCCGTTTCGGTTTTTTGACCATTTTGGAAGTTCTGTGTTACCCTTGAAAAGGACCAGCTGGGATGCATTATCCGTCTTTGAACAAGCCTCCCTGAGCGGTAAGTGATTGGGAAAAGCATCTAGCTTCATTAGTCAGTTGGTCTGAGTTTTATTTGTTTTGGCGCCTTGGATGGCTGACAGCCTGGACTGCAGTATCATCTCTTTTGCTTTGGATGGTACAGCAACACTGAAAAGCAGCGTGTGCCTGAATCCTCCTCTCTGTGCTTGCACACCAGCCTCTCTGGTGCTGTGGACTCTGAATAGGCTTGTGTGGAAGTGTTCTTTTTTTTCTCCTTTTCAGTCCCGCTTGCTTCTGACAGATGACTGGCAAGCAAAGATTACAAAAAATAACAAAAGGCCAGGAGGGCTGGGACCTGCAGTGCTCGCTCTTCCACTGTCTGTAATGCTTGGGCCTTGGCCCTCGTCCAGCTGATTTTCATTGGGAAAGCCCGGAGCACTGAGCTGGGAGGGCTATATATAACCGGGCTGTGTTTTTCTCACTGACAAACCCTTTTTCACACTGTTATTGACTGAGATGCTGAATTACTGCCTTTGCTCGCTTTGGTAGACAACACTTTATCTGTCCTTTTTGGCTGTGTTGTTTCCTCTCCTTTCCCCTCTGGAACGATGGATGATTAGAGAATCCAAGACAAATGCTAAAGCAGTCACATCTTTCCCTGGACCGCTCTGCTACTGGCTTTGACTAATGAATGTCTAATGAGCCTAGTCTGGACCTGTGTATATTCCCTTCTCATTCTGAGTAGAGGGCAGCTTGGCGTGGCACAAAGTCTGCAGTCTAGAGCCCACAGAGCTTCAGGACACGACCTGCTTGCATGTATAAAAGATGTGGCCTGCGACTGAATGACTGCGCAAATTAATTCATAAATAATGACTTGGGTTTGGGGCTAGAGCCCATATTGCAACAACACTTTCCTACCACTGCTGCATTAAAAAAGGTGCCCCTTGGCTACACAGGGGGCTGGAGAATTGCCATAATGAATTCCTGAGCCAACCGCCCATTACTTCCGCTGCCTGACTTTGCCTATTTGTTGTTTAAAGAAAGGCGAAATAGAGTTCTGCTGAAGAAAGCCATATCTGGCATGCAGGCTTAATATAGTCCCATAAATATAAGAAGGTAGGATACTAGATCTTTTTAAATACATATGCATAAAACATAGAAGTAGCTTCTTGATTTAATGCCTAATTCTGCACACATGGCGTTCTCACGTGGTTAGTTGTGGACTGTGAAACACGCCAAGATGATGAATGAGTGCGTGTAAAGATATTGTGTGTTTGTGGATGGGTGCATGCAAGTATCCTTTACAAACCTGGCAAGATTCAGATGTGACTATTTTTGAAATATCTGTGAACATTAAGGGAACGTCGGAGTGCACGTGTGATACCGTGCTGCCTGAACGGCATCAAGAGAATTGGGTCTGGTTGTGCCGCAGAGTAAAACCTCACACAGACTTTTTTTTTCCAAATAAGCCAAATGTGGAAAATGCTGCAACAGCAGTGTGTTGGGATTCCTTTGCTTGGCTCTTGCTTTCACATTTATGAATCCAGCTGCCATTCTAGGATGCTTCAGACTTTTATGGGAATCAAAATCAATAGAGCATTGTTATGTCATTTTGCACTTCAGCAAATGAATTCAGCATATAGGATATTTCTGCTTGACTCAATGTAGTGGATATTTACAACCCACCTAACCTCTGACCTCAGTATGACCTAGGGGGGCAATGGCATAACTCTAACAAAAAGGCAGGACACTTATTAGAGTACCCCACATGTCTATTTACCCGCCTGTCTCAATCTGTGACTGACTTCTACTTCAGTTAGTCCTCATTTTAAAATAATTTGGAAATATGCGAGGTTTTAATTACAATGTTAAACAAACAGAATTAAACATGTTAGGGTGGCTTCTTACCTCTTGATAGCTTTGTAGCAGATGATGATAGCTGAGAGGAGGAAGATAAGTGAGGCACAGCCCACCGTTCCGAGAACTACGATGTCCATCTCCATCCACCACGGCCTCCACAATTGCACCTTGGGCTTTTCCACTTAGAAACAGAGTGAAAGGGGCAGCAAGGAGAGAGAGGTGTAGATACAGAAGAAGACAATAAACACAATACATTAAAAAAGGTAAGCGCATTATGAAAAATGCATTAATTATATTTACACTTAAGCCACAATGCTGACTTGTGTTTTGCATTTTGATCCTTAGTAAGTGGCTTAACTTTTAAACAACACAATAGTGAAAGAGAAACAAGACGATTTCTCTTCTCTGCTCTTTTTGTGCTGGGATGCATTCGTGTCCTCACCCGTTCTTTAGGTCTTAGGTGCAACGTTCAAAGATATCCAACCCGACACCATGAATCATTTAAGGTCCTGTCAGCCTTCCCTACACCAGCACTCTTGTCCACACCAATTACTGTTGCAGGAACCTCCTGCTCTTTCCACATTAGTCGTGGAGTAAGATCACTCACCAGGAATGTTGTATAACATTGTGTGCATCAGCATCTTCGTATCTGTATTGCAGAATTTCTCTCGCCTCGTTTTGCAGCATCCTGTGCTCTCCCACCGTCTTTAAATCAGGTTTGTCATGAGCATATCTACCTATCATTCAAGGAGAAAATACCCTGTTCGCTACATAAAATAACAAGCTCCTCCTGCATGTAGAGGATTTTAGTTATGAATGAGACGAATGGGCTTACACCATAGCAACAAATACTCCTGAGTAAAGCTGAAGACTATTTTTCCAACACAGCCCATTTCTACACAGCAAATAAAAAGGTATGGCTCTCCCTGGTACAGCACACCACATCATAAGTCACTGTGAATTTAAAAGCCCCTCTCAGCCAAACTTCCATTTTAATCCTTCGTTTTGTCAACGGCTGTAGGATTTAATTCAGTCAGTGGTAAGGATCTACTTTATTGTGATAGAGCACAGTCCTATCAAGGGACCTCAGATACCATTTTTAGCACGCAGACACTTCTTTAACTGTGCCAATTTTTCCTCAGTTTTATTAGACTTTTATCTGATAGATGTGGTCCCGGCCATTGTCCCAGTTTTCATGTTAGCTGTGCATATTCATTGGATTTTAAAGACGACAGTTTAAAGCACATTTTCAGCTCAAAGTGCTCTGCAAATTGGGCTGCTGAATGAATATTTAGATAATTATGCATGAAAAATGTGATGACAAAAAAAAACCTCCCTTTGAATCAAATATTAATAGTGTCTCCACCCACTGCAAACATATGTGTGCAAAGATAAAAAGAAATGAAGATTGATCTGCTTATCTTATTAACATGACATTTTGCTGTTTTTTTATTTGGTTGTTGTTGGAGGGATCAGATCTTGTGGAGGCAGCACTCAGAGGTCTGAGCTTGTATTGGCCTAAGGCCCACCTTCACTTGCAGTCAGATGGTTGTGGCAGGATTCATGCAGTGACCTTGACAACAATCACAGAAGAGTCTATAACTCTCGATTTGTAGTTAACTCACATGGTGAGTCAGGGGAAAAAGGAGGTCCATTTGCATTGACCAGACAGGAAAAGAACACATTGAAGCTGATTGATTAAAGTCCTTCCACTGCTTCGTGATTAAGTATCCCCCCTCCTTGTAATACGAAGGGCTCAGGATGAGTGATTCTAAAGAATCACAGTAATAGCTGCATCATCAGCAAAACACCTGTCCCATATTTCAGCACTGTTCATTAAGGTGCCTGAGATGAAATACAAATCATATCAACTTTCAGCAAGCAGGCCTGTTAAATATGTTTGCCTTTTGCTCAATAGATTTAGCACCTCAGAGTGAGACGAAAGAGGAAGGTGAAGGCGAGCGCTGCCACAACAGGCGCTGGAGCGACACAGATATCCAAGCTTGTTGTGTATGAGCACTAACACGCACGCACACTTATTGCCGCCAGCTCGACTTCAAAACAAAGCTGGAACTACTGGGCTGGATCATTAGCCCCTTATCTCTAACAAATTATAGCTAATTTAATTAACTCATCTGTCTTTTAATCAGGGGTTCTCCAGGGGGAAACCCTACCACTGAACCACTGAGCTTGGCAGCCCAGCAGGCATAGATTTCACAGGCAGCCGGGTACTCCCCAGGGTCAGACCCAGTATATATTAGTCTTGTGTTCAGCTGTCAACATCCTGCTGGCTCTAACACACGCACAAACACAAGAGTGCAAAATTACACCCGTGCACGAGCACTCACACGTTAATCTCAACTGGTTGATGGTGCATTTTCCCCGTGTACATAAATGGAAACACTTCATGTCAAAACAGTTTCTTCAGACTAGCCACTTGCCCGACACCTGCGCCTGGCTAGGAACAAGATCCAACTGTGGGCTGAGAGCAAACAGACTGAGACGGACTTGAAGGGAGACAGCTGTGAAAGGTTGGAGGGTGAGCTGGAAGCCTTACCTGTGGTGCCCAGTAGCCGCGGGGGCGGCGGTGGAGGCGGCGGCGGTGGAAGTGGAGGGTATCTTCTACAGTGGCATGCCAGCTGGCACTGTTCACTAACTTTCTCCGCCACAGTCCGTGAGCATGACCTCTGGAGCTCTCCCTTATGGTGAGAGAAAAAAGAGACAGAGGGAGAGAAAGAGAGATTGAAAGGACTGAGGCTGTGTCCCTTAGTGCATTACTCAGAAGTACCATCAGCACAACACTGTGCAGCACAAATGGAGATGCTTGAATACTCAGCAGCCTCTTAGTTTGCAGCACTGTGGATATCCTCTCAGCATTCCTTTCATATCGCAGCTCCAGTGTTGTTGTCACTGGGGCTACTGTGTATGTAGTACATGTAAAATAGTATCACATATATGGCTGCAGCCCGCTCCCTGTAAGAAACCACCCACCAACAGAGTGGGCAGCAGGCTGCCCCGAGGAGTGTGCGTGGGTGGACTTGGAAACTCAAGCAGATCACATTACACGTGAACCCTGGCAACACTGCGTGCGCGTGAACAACTGCTCACCACTATCTGTAGGCAGCAGCATGGGGCAGAGGTTAGAATACTCATCACTAACATATGCCTGCTGCAGGGATCCTGGTGGGATAACTGAATGTTGTTATCATATAAACACAGTTGGTTACTCCGTGTTCCCACAACAAAAAAGCAGAGTGCCTCTGTGTGTACCTGGGCATAGCTGCATTTCTTATGACCTGCTGCAAACTCACTACACACGCCTGCCTGCCAGCATTCCCTCAACACAGGTGTGCTCTGGAGCGGTGATCCCACCAAGTGTAAGCTGGTATTATATGGCAATGCATCTTAAAGAGCACACAAGTTACTTGGAAAAGGTTATTAGCTCCACAGCTCTTATCCATAGTCCATCAGTAAATGAAACTCAAGTTACATCAGTGTAACCTCTTCTCATGCGTAAATTGTCAAGTGGCGCGCCTGAACGTGATCCTTACCTGGCACGAGAGTAACAACAGTGAGAGAAGGCAATGACCAAAGAAAAAAGGCCAAAAACTTAAAGTAAATGGCATTAGATCTTGGCACAGCATTCCTCTTGCGCTGTTCTCGAAGATACTAGGCAGCGTTTCCAACAAATGAATGCAGTATACATAGGCTTGAACTGTTTGGGAAATAACCATCCACCCTATCCAGTTCAGCGGCGATATCTGTGACAGGCGTCTCCAGAAATAGTTTATGCCACAATCATTTTCCTCTTGAAATCCCGTTGTCGATAGCATAGGACAGGCGAGCCGGTGGAATGAGTGGCAAATCTCGATAATTCACATCTCGAAAGTAGTTTTTTGCTTTCTGGCACTCAGATAGCGACCTGAATCACGCCGCTACTCCGTGCAATGTGAGGGCGGTAGATGCCCGTACCTTACATCCCTCCTCGGCTGCAAGCATGAGCGCAAATGGACCACTCAAGCCATCGAAGTTGAAGGAAAAAACGAACCGAGAGAGATCCTCGGGAATATCGAGTAGTAGGATTCCTTGCAATGGCATCACACATCCCCTCTCAACTTATCTAAGCTGAGCACTGTATGGGCGAGTCCGGAGGGCAGAGCCGAGGGTTAAAGTGATGCATCCTCCTCTGTGCCAAAATACGGCGGGCTGTTTTATACGGGAGCATCACCACCGCGCACTTGATGCAGCGCTCACATCAGCTCATCCTGACAACGTGTGCTCAAACAAATTCGCCTTCCGCTTCTTAAAAAGTCCCCCCAAAAATCAAAGAGGGAAGGGCATGTGGTTGTGAAGGCGTCGGTAATGTCAGCTGGGCTTTGTTTGTTTTGCTTTGTTTGCTTGTTTATGTCTGTGTTTGATTTTTTTTCCTTTTTTTTTTAAAATAATAATAATAATGGCCCAGGCAGAAAGTATAGCCCACAATGCGTGGAGGCGAGTCTGTAAAGATGACGCGTACTAGAGCAAATTAAAGTCAAGTGGAAAGCTAGGGAGAGAGAGTGCAAGACGCCTACCGACTGAAAACACTGCCATGCCCGTGTTTGATGTGCTGTGTGCCTGCGAGAACACTCTCTGGTCCAGTGTCCCAAAGTAGGCTGAGATAAACAATACTGATGTAACCTGGCATTTACTGCTAATGCTCGACAACCCGGTCAATTATAACAGTTTCAAAAATACGAATGGGCTTATTGTAAAACATTAGTTTCTTCTTGTTATTATTGCTGTCATCACAACACCTTTGACCCACACTGATGTCGTTTATAAGAAGTGATGCTGCGGGGCAGAGTGCAGAGAATCAGACTATGCAGTGGGTAGTTTTTAAGAGCTCAGTTGCATAATATTGTTGGTGGTCTTCACTAGGGACAGTTATGAAATTACCTCAGAGCCCTCAGTCGGTACTAGAAAGCCAACGTGACATTCACTTGTTGTAACAGCTGATTGACAGGTAAGGAATAAAATCCAGAGTGTTCTTGGTGTCACTAGGGAGCCAGAGCTAATACATTTTTTAACCACATTAAATGATTTATTGATCAGCTGGTTCTCTAGTGCTGATGCATTACCTACTTGATCAGAGTTTCAGAGCTGGAAGATGATGTAATGACTGTAGCCTGGTCAAACCTCTCACCCCTCAGGATTTTCAGCTGTTTAAAGGAGGTCTGTCTCACGTTTTAAAGACCTCATTATGTGACAAACCATTTTGTAGTACTTGAATAATCCCCACACATCTTCTTGCAATCTCAAGAGATCTTTGCAACTCTTTAAAAATCACCTCTGAAGCCCCTGTCTTGCTAAGAGCTCGCTAAGAACATGTTTGAACCTGATGTGTCAATTTTGCAGGACACTTTCTTTGCTCGTGCAGTGCACAAACCTGCCTCCCAGCCTGTGTGTGATTTCCATAGCTAATTCATGTTTCATAAATCTCCAATCTACCGTGGCGCCCATGTGACTTGTCTTTTGCTTGGGAGAACTGCCTGCAGTTTAAAATAACAGAAGTGACAGCCAATTGTGTCAAAGCCTGTTCATACCAAATAACATCTAAGCCGAGTATTTAAACAACTTTGGATTAAGATCAGTGGATTCAGCATCTAGCCTTAAAGCCTTGTTGTTGCAGCCGAGCATTTATCACATGTCGTGCCTACGAAAAAAGCTCTTCACGGGCAATAAAGAAGTGAGCTCATGCAAAGGGCCGTGAATTACTTTTAGAGTGGAAAATCCATAGCTGCTGTCAGGCTGTATTTGAAAATGCAGTGCAGTGCAGAGATTTTTCAGAGTTTTTGGAGGATAAAACCAGCCTGTATTTGGCATATGGTCTGCCTAGCAGTTCAGTCCATCCATCTCCCCTACAGTCTGTCCCAATATTGATTATCTGACAAGAGAAAAGCACTACATCCTCCTGTTTCCTTCCTGCTACCTCACCTCATTCCAACAAGCAGCAATTTGCCACAACATACATCATAGGCCTTTAAAACTCAGATAAGAAAACCTCTATGTAATTACTGTGGTCTTTCAGTCTTATCATCCTGCCAAGATACTTAATCTGCCTCTCTGTATTAAACAAAGAGCACCCCCAACATAATGTTTTTATCAGAACAAGAAAAAATAAGAAGACAAAAATCACAAGCCCTCTGTCATTGAAGGAAAACGTTTATATCAAATAAGCTTAAACGGGTTTTATTTGTATTATTCGTAGTTTTCTTGTATTACTTGTCCTTGTGTTATATCAGTGTGCAGGTATAACGTTAGATGTGTGCTGTATTCATGCTGGGCTGCATCATAGTAAAGGTAGATTGCCATCTAGTGGAAAAACCTGGCAACACATGACTTTAAACAGAGGTTATGTTGCTTATTGACACATTATTATTGGAGCTAGTGGAGATATTAAGCTTAGGTTTGTTATTTAAATTAGCCTGTACTGTGATAAAACAACTCCAATACCACTGGAATGATGTTTAAGATAAATAAATTCTGAGGAATATCAGAATACAGTTGATGACTTATTGGACAGTATTTTTCAGTGTACTACTTATTTTACATCTGCGCGTGGCTTTTTCCTAACTCTTTAGTAAGGGAAAATAGATACATCTTAAAAAAGAAAAAGCTTCTAGATTTCTAGACACACACATGGACATGAATGACCGTATCTACTGGTACTTCTACATTTAGCTGTAGCTCCTATTCCCTGTTAAAGAAAAATGTAATCTTTATGATTTTGCAAATTCTGCTGTGTTCTATGGGTACAGTTTTATTTTTAATTTCCCCGTCTCTGTGCCTGATCTTTGCTTTGTGCTGCTTTTACACTTTTTTCTCCCTTGCAGATCAAACAGTGTCATCTTATTGTAGTTATTTTTGAGCAAAGGCAAGAGGTAAGATACTTACCATAAGTTTCACTAATGGATGTGGGATGGGCAGCTTCCACAATGGAGGTAGCAAGATTACAGACGTATTAGAGCTCTGGGCTTCTTCTTATTGGGTTTAGGCAAAAATGGCAAAGATGATGATGGCTCTGTAGTTTGTTACAGAGGCACATAACACGTCTTGGCTGCAGGTTTTTTTTCTGGGTTTGTTTGCATGCGCAGCAAATACATACAAATTAGGTGTATATCTTTGGCAGGAGTTAAAACGACCTCTTTGTTTCTGTTTTTCTATGATGGACAGCAGACACACTGATGCCACACCTTTTGCACCCATATAAACTGTATAAAGTGAACATAAATGTGCCAAGAGGTTCGTTTTCCTCCCACTCAGAACTTCTGTAAATAATAAATAAATAAATAAATAAATTCAGCCACCACCCAGTATTTATGGATGCCACTATGCTTCCTCTTTCTCTTTCTCATTCTTCCTCACTTCAAAAGCACAGGAGTGGGGTGACAGGCCATGGGGAGGGGGGACCGCATTGTTAATTGGCCTTTTCAGCTGAACAGAGAGGTGAAGGGAGGAAGAAGAGATGAGGACAATAGAGTCCCACTGCCTCTTCAGAACAAGAGGGATGCGCCGTTAAAAAGATAGACCGGCCGATGCACACAGACCTGCAGCAGGGCTCTCCTCACACAACCCCAAACTAAGCGAATGAGGCAATTAATCATGTGGCCCGCAGCTAACCGAGTAAACGGTCTGTAGCCTCGATATAGACTGCGGATAGTTAAAAAAATTCTCTCCTGGCTCCATAGCATAGGGCTGTGTCAGGATTTGAGGCAGGAGGTGTTACCAGACAAACAGTTCCCTCACATCTCATTCCACTGCTGCCGCGGTTCAGTGGAACGATAGGTACTCTTTTTCCACTTCAATAAGGGGATGAAGCTCAATTAGCATTTCACAAGTCCCATTTCCCTCCTCTATTGCAACCTTCCCCGCCGAGCCCATGCTTTCTCTGGGGATTGTCCTGTTTTGGGCCCTTGTTGCCGTTGGCAGGGTGACAGTATTCGAGTGTGCAAACTTGTGCTATTGTCCGCGGGCCAGAGGGAGCCATGGAGACCCCATAATATGACACAGGAAAATGTTTGCTGATGGCAATTCTATGGGCTTTGTCCGACTCTTTCTCCTTCATGACGACTCGATTTAAGTCTCTAAATGTTTGACTACAAATGCAGGAGTGCTATCCAGCTCCTTTCCCTTTGTCCCGCGAGGTTTGAATGAGTAATTCAGCCTTTGTGTCGCTCGATTGAGGGGGCAAACAGAAAGACAAGATTCTTGAGCCTTCAAGACCCTTTCCATGGTTATGCACTCTTCAGATCCCACCACCCCTCACCAAATCCTACAGCTGACATCACTCTTGGGGAGGGAATAACGGGCTTATGTGTTAGAAACTCAACTTTAACCGCTCTGATGTCAGGTTATAATGCACGCATGCTCGACAAGAATTCGCACTCGTTTTTTAAACGCACATTTACCATTTTCGGAGCAGAAATCATCTTGAAGGAGAAATATTGCATCCCCTCAGCGGCTTTCCCCCCTCCAGATCTCCATGACAACAATTTGCGATGGTGAAGAATTTGATACCAGGGCGCTTGGAGGCTGATTGGGGTGCATTGTAAGAGGCCTGGGGTCGCTGATTGGTTCAAGGGAAGCACCATAACTACAAGGAGTTTATATTCATTCAACTTGTTGAAGTGCTCCTATACTGCAGCCTGGGAGAAGTCTGAGGTTAGACTGAGAGGATCCGGACTGATCCAGCAGTGGTGAGTAAAAGGTTACTAATCTCTAATATCCAGCATCCCGCTCATTTGAGGCTTGATTGCGTGACTCGTGTGTTTCTCATTTCTCTTTAGATCCTGACGGTGGATTGCATATTTTAACATGGACTGAACAAACCCTCGATACAATATGGCAAATGCAGACAGTGAGGTCAAAACTTTACTAAATTTTGTAAATTTGGCATCCAGCGACATCAAGGCGGCCCTAGATAAGTCCGCTCCGTGCAGGCGCTCCGTGGATCACCGGAAATATCTCCAGAAACAACTGAAGCGCTTCTCTCAAAAATACTCCAGAGTCCCAAGATGCCACACACACAGGTCTGCGGAGTATAGGTGCGCCAAACCGATGGGGTCTGTCCATCAGAGTGTGGCAGAAAAGGCCAGCTCTGGTGCGCAGGATGTGGATCAACTGGGGAGCTCTGTGGAGCAGGTGCCTATGAGGAAACGCCAGCTACCGGCCTCATTTTGGGAGGAACCTAAGTTGACCCCAACCAAGAGGGAGCACTCATATTTAGGAATGAAAAGGAGCCATGCAGGCACATCGGAGGGAACTGAGAATGAAAAGAGGAAACGAAGTTGTGATGATGATGCAAAGACCGCAATATCTGCGTGCAGCCGGCGCAGCTCGGCGGATAAAGAGACGCTGAAACTGGACGTGACCTCTCACCACTGCGTGAGTGTGTGCGGCTGTTGCCCTTTCCAGTACCACGGACACCAGATCCTTCACAATCACATTTTTGTCCCTCATCCGCCCCTGGGATTGTGGAGCAAAGCAGCAGGGACTGAGACGGAGAGATCCGAGCATCCTTATGGACAGAAAATTCACACGCACGTTGTTGTCAAACCCATACCGACCAAGCCCACCGCTCAGTCACCAATCTTCAGTGTGTTTGGATTCATTTAATTAACTCACTAAATGAACCCATCACACAAAACGCGTGTAAATAGGACTAATGACTTTCAGCGTTTCTCTTTCAGCATTTTAAATCGAGATACTTCCTCCAGCACTTATGGAAATGCTTCATCTATTTTTGTCTTTTAAATCTAAAGGACTAAATTGCACTGAATAATTTCATCATCTTCACTTTCATGCCAGTCTTATGCCTGACAATTGACAGTAAGGTAAAAAGGTTTCTACTTTTAGGTGTCTACAGAGGATGATTGTTCTTTTTTAAGTAAAAAAAAAAAGTCATAGAATGAATCCAAACATCCTGTTTTAGTTTCCTCTTTTAAGTATGAGAATCGCCTTTCTTTGTCAAAGTAATGTTTGATAGGCACATTTGAAACAATGACTTTTATTTTTAAATAAATGATTCAACTTCCCTTAAAAACTCCTTTGGGCACAAGATCATTTTTACCTTTTGCTAAAGCTTTCTCCAAAGGGAAAACACACACACAAACACACACACATTTTGAAGGACAGATTAAAGAGGCTTATTGTCACTTCACATATATTATAAATAGATATTTATACACATAAAATTTCTTTGAGAGGAACATTTACACATTCAAGACATCAGACACGACTAAAAAAAGAACCACAAGAAGATAAATATAGTCTTATCTCTGAGGACTATATTGCGTGAGGTTCATTTTAAAGTCAGTCAACGTGGCTCAGGTATCTAATCAGTCTGTTTGGCAGAGGTACGCTTGTGATGGATCTCAGTCTGTGTCCCCCCATCTGGGTCCGAATCTTTAATCTACAGAGGTGCAGCAGTGGACATGGTGACACTAAAGACAAGACAAAAAGGAAAGATGAAGAGGCTTGTCGCTTGCTTCCTTGTGGACCACATTTGCATTCAACGGACGTGTGAGGACATGAAAGAAAAGAGTGAAAGAGACATGTTTCCATCTGATACTTACACAACTTCCTCTTGACAACGTGCCATTCTTCACGGCTGTCCAGCAGTTCAGTGAGCTTGCTGCACAGCTGAACATGGCCAACATACTCTAGCAGCAAGTCTATAATTGGCCCTGCCCATTTACTCATTACTGGCGTTGAGATCCACTCGCAGAACTAAAGAAGAAAATCATATAAAGTTACATTACTGAAAAAGAACATGCATATTTTTGTTATGACCAACTTTTTGCTCTTTTTGCATACCTGTGTTATCCTCTCTGAAGGCTCATTGCAATTTAGAGGAAGCATGCTGCCATTCTGCAAAGCATATCCATTACTGCCAGCAGTTATTATATCGGATTGTTCTGCAGCTGGGTGAGGGGCACTGCCATAAGCACACGTAAAACAGGAGAGCGCATCACAGCCATTGTCCAGAAGGCACTTGAGTAGAGGCAGATTATTCTGACAAAGTGCAACAAGAGCTGGGAATGTGGTAGTACATGTTGGGATGCTTGCATTTAAATCAGCTCCTCTTTCTAGCAGTAAAGACACAGTGCTGACACAACCCTGACGCACAGCCATCAGCAGAGGGCTGACTGGATCCAGGCTTAGACTAGCACCGGCATTAAGCAACACCTCTGCTGTTTCGGTGCTGCCGTTAGCAATAGCAAAGTAGAGGGCCGTAGTGCGTCGATCGGCATACTTGATGGAGTGGCTGTGGGGCAGTGTGGCGTTTACATCTGCACCTGTCTTCAGTAGCACAGCTGCTACAGTGTGTCTGTTGTGCTCTGCTGCCAGGTGGAGGGGGCTGATCCAACTGTGCCGGAGCATGGCTCGACTTGTCACCGAGACGAGCAGAGATACAATCCTGAAAACAAAGCAAAAGAATGTTAATGTAAAGTTAACACAACAAATACAGAGAAGTTAGAGCTTACAGCGCCACTTACAACATCCGCTCCATTGCATATTTTAACAATAAGTTTAGGATATGAATACAAATTTTACACACTAATCATTTTTTAAAATTATTATTATCATTTCATCAATTTTGCAAGTGTCAGTATTTGAACTTACTTGTCATGTCCATACTGGGCAGCGATGTGCAAAGGCAGGAGTCCTGAGCTTGTCGGTTTGTTGGCATCTGCATTTTTAGTCAACAGAAGGGCCGCAATTTCCATGTGGCCATTTTTACTCGCTTCATGCAGCGCCGTAACCCCATCGCATGTCTGCGTGTTGACATCTGCACCTAAAATAAACAAAAAACAATCATCATTCTTTTATAACATAATTTCATTGAAATCATAAACATGACAACCTGGAATTTTTTTGTACCTTTCTCAATAAGGTAACACAGTGTCCTCATCTGTCCTTGCTGAGCTGCTACAACCAGTGGAGCGATGGTGTAGGTATTAGATGGATTAATTATAGCCCCAGCTCTTAACAGTATCTCACAGATCTCTGTGTTGTTTCTCGATACAGCCTCATGAAGGGCTGTCCAGCCCTGGGCACACCGCTGGTTCACAGTGGCCCCATAAGAGAGAAGAAGGTTCACCATGTCTATGTTCTCAAGCTCGCATGCTGGACAGACACAAAAAGACACGAGTCAGCCTGGCTTCATATAAGCTGTTGTAAGAAATTCTTAGCCCACAGCTGTACCTTTGTACAAAGGTGTTTCTTTGCTCTTGCTGCTGATGTCAGGGTCAGCACCTGCTTCCAAAAGACACTGCACACAGGCCAAGTGTTCACAAGACACCGCAAGCAGCAAGGCCGTCTGCTCCTGCAATGTGCGCTTGTCTACTGAGCCTGGAAGGGCTAGAACAGAAAATACACGTTAAACAAAACAAGCACACATGACATTTTAAAAGTCCTCCCGCAATAGATTTACGTTTCTTTTCTTAACATGTGATTCATTCAAGGGTGACAAATGACATTTCTGGGATAATTCTTTGAGACTTTCAATCACCTACCCCTTAAAAGGGTCTTCAAGCACTCATCCTGTCCACAGTAGGCAGCATCATGCAAAGGTATCCATCCATCATTGTTCTCCTTCAGCACCCAGTGAGAAGAGGCTGTCAGATTTTTGACAGTTTCCACATCTCCTCTTTTGATGGCACAGACCACAGGATCAACATCCCTTGAAAGGAGAGAAAACCCCCTAAAACATTAAGTAGTCTGAATACAATCAAGTGTATTTTTAGAAAGACACCAGATCCTTATGGGAAAGGCAGCACTGACCCTAAAATCTGTACATTCGGTGATTATCATCATAATAAGCTGATTTTGCTCTCAGTAATCCAGGATGTGTGATTTTTATTTTTGCTATTTATGCAGAAGTTGCACACAAGAGCCACCA